CTGTATTTACGTACAAGTGGATTAAACTATTAATGTGAATTGCAACTGAATAATGTATTAATTTCATAGCCGTATTTACAACAGATTTTCTTCTTTACACAAGCCTTCGAAGCAAAAGGACAGACTGATGTACCATGTTATTTATGTAACCTTTACCATGAATATAAGTTTTAATGTTATAGTAAATAAATTGGATTGGATTCGACTCATTAGACAGTGATACAGGCTACGTGGTTAAACAAAGTGATACAGCGCAGATGGCAGTAGATTGACAAAGGTGGATATTTGAAGGAATTATAAAAAATTTACAGAATAGAAACAAATGTCTCAAAACCATATTAGATATCATATATTCACGCAAGAGCTTGTTTCATTTATGCAGAAAATTATTTTAACAATGCTGTATTTATCATTGAGTCCTGAATTTGCATCAATCTAATTTATGAAGAATTCAGCCTACAACAATTTGTCTGACAGATTTATCCAAGGCAACTTTGTATAATTTTAGTTTCTAGATAGTTTTGTGAAATAGAAACTGGCCCAAGCTTTAAACTTGTACATATCTGGATCAAATGAACAGCTCTAACCCCTGCGTCACCACAATCAATGGCCACTTTGTTATGTTTCTACTCTGTAGGATTTGCTGATATCTCATTGCCTTTTTTTTAAACATTATTTAAGTGCAACTTCCATCATTCTCACCAACCATAAGTGATGGCAAGTGACATGTTGGTGACAAGCCCTCCATTAGAAACCAAGAGTTATCTATTTTTCAATAATTTGGGTTGAATAACATAATTTGTTCGAAGGCAATACTTCTGCAGCTCTAACGGGTACAAATATTTCATACATTTATTTAAGAACATGTACTACACACATTTTGTATTGATCATTGCTAAAGGAGCTGATTTCTGTACCATGTTACACAAGTGTTATTATGCATACATAGGTTCCACGTGCGGTTTGCAGTGAGAGTTGTATTCCTGGAACAAGAAAAGTGACCAGAAAAGGGCGACCTGTGTGTTGCTTTGATTGTACAGAATGTGCTGAGGGAGAAATCAGCAATTTAACAGGTACCTTTATACTACGAAAATAAAGTTATTATTTCAAAAATTGTATATTCAAACATTCAGGCACGTTTTACCAATTAATGATAATATTTTTGGAAGATTCCACAGACTGCATTAAATGCCCTGAACAATATTGGCCCAATCAGCAGAGAGATCGTTGCCTACCAAAGGAAATAGAGTTCCTCTCCTTTACCGAAATGCTGGGAGGTGTATTGCTGACATTGGCTCTGGTGGGAGTGAGCACCACAATAAGTATTACCATTGTCTTCTTCACACACAGAGACACTCCTATTGTTAAAGCCAACAATTCTGAGCTCAGCTATCTGCTTCTCTTTGCATTAACGCTGTGTTTTCTGTGCTCAGTGACTTTCATTGGCGAGCCCTCAGTCTGGGCTTGCATGTTGTGCCACACAGCATTCGCTATCGCTTTCGTTCTCTGTATTTCCTGTATTTTGATTAAAACAATCCTTGTGATTCTGGCGTTTAAGGCAACTCTTCCAAACAACAACATGGCCAAATTGTTCGGGCCTGCTCAGCAGCGTTGGAGTGTATTCCTCCTTACCTCTGTTCAGTGCCTGATATGTACTCTCTGGTTAACTATATCACACCCATTTCCCATGAGAAACACAGAATATTACAGAGAGATTATCATTCTGGAATGTGACCTGGGCTCTGTGAGCGCCTTTTATTCTATGGCGGGATATATTGCTTTCCTGGCCGGAGTGAGCTTTGTGCTGGCGTTTCTAGCTCGGAAATTACCTGATAACTTTAATGAGGCTCAATGTATAACCTTTAGCATGCTCATCTTTTGTGCTGTTTGGATCACTTTTATACCAGTTTACATCAGCTCTCCTGGGAAATACACCGTTGCTGTCGAAGTCTTTGCTATTTTAGCCTCGAGTTTTGGGTTATTGTTTTGTATTTTTGTTCCTAAGTGTTACATTATTTTGGTAAAACCTGAAATGAATACCAAAAAACACTTGATGGGCAAAGTGTCCAACTGAAAAACTAGCTGCCTAGATATGTAAGCTGCAGCTAAAAGTGAACATAATTTAAGTGCAGGTTAGTTTTACTGAAATGTAACAGGAAACTAACTAAAGTACATGTAAACTGTCTAATGTTTAGTCGTTTTGTGCATGGTGACATGGAATTTTTAAGTGTCACTTTACATGTTTTATATTCTCTGCCAATAAATTATTTATGTTCAACATTGATACCTGATGTTATTGTTATCTGATGCAATTAATTTATTTACAGATGTTACACTTGTATTGCTGCAATCAAACTTCCCTTTGATTTATTCTCTTAATTTCCAATAGCATTGTTGTCCTTTACTGATTCCCCCCAACACTGGACACAATCCACCTCAACTCTCTCAAATCCTTCTCACATGCATTTGCCATTGTAACCAATAATCCACGACACTATAGACACTATAAGCAATTAAGCAGTAAGTAAATAAATAAATGAATAAGTAAATAATTCAGAGAAATGATAGACAATGAATCTGTAAACTGAATGATTCTGAACCATTTGTGAGTGTAGGTTAGGAAGGAGGACGATCGTGAATAAATGTTGTTGTGGCTGCAGTGGTGGAGGGAGAACAAATAATTATTACTTCTACGTTATCTCCAAATTAACCAAATTTGCTCGATCTGTGACAGAGGTCTCAAATCATTGTCACGTGTTACAAAGGACTACTTCAGTAACAACACTGTGAGGCTGTCCTACAGCACGATAAAGAATTGCCAACAACAAACTTGCGGAATAAAAGCCATTGTGGTGGAACATTCAGAAATAAAACGGTAAAACATAGACAAGAGGCGGAAACTCGTCTTTGCAGCTCTCAATGAATGCATTGTGTTCCATCATCTTCAAACGATTACAAATTAGAATAAGGCAAATAAGAATAATACTGTTTAAGGAATTTAACCATCACAATGCCACATGAAGGATAATTTTAAAAAGTTGCTTCCATGATTACACAGAGTGGAAATCCCTGATGAGATACACTAAGATACTTGGCCACAATCGTTACAGCTGACAGTTAATTTTCCGGAGGCACATAGGAAATTATATTCTACTGGGATTTTAAATAATTTCCAAATTACCTTCCACTGAATTGCATCAAAGGCGGCAATTCCCAGAAAGCCCCGCTGTAGTACAATATAAAACACACATACGGGGACGTATATATTGGACAATTGAACTTGTCTGCTCGGATAACTGCAACTTCTGATTGACGTAAATAGTAAATGTATGTGGGAAATATGTTTTACTTTTTCCTGTTAGAATTGCTCAGACTTGAGGCCGGATGGGGAAGCGGTGAATATAGTTGTAAACTTCAAGGGAAGTTCGATTTACCTGAACTGTCAAAGGACGGAGACATCATTCTGGGGGGACTTTTTAACTTGCACATGGACAGGGTTGAGAATGTGCATTCCTTTACTGTCCGGCCAAAAGCAGAACAGTGCAAACGGTGAGTGGATTCTCAGAGTAATTTATAAAAAGCTATAGTTAAGTGTATAGTAAATGTATATGGGTGTCTGACACATGTGGAAACCCACCAACATGCCTTCGAGTATCCAAACCAAGCTGACATTTCCATGCATTCTGCCTACAAGTCCTGTAGCTCAGTGGTTGGAGCACTCGCCTCGCAAGTGAGAGACCTTGGCTCGATTCCTGGCTGGGTGAAATGTTGGTCAAGTTTCTTTACTCCACATGCCTCTGTTTACCTTGCAGTAAGGAGAAACAGGGTTAATAGGCGATTGTCAGATCAGTTTACTGGGAGTAATAATTGCTTAAAAAAAAATGGGTCACTTGAATGCACGACTGTGGAGGGACGCTGCTCTGCGCAATTAGTTGCTGCATTTCACCCACAAAATATGCAGTCAATTTACCTTGCAGTATATTCTGTGAAGCGCTTTGAGACATCTCGAAGACGTGAGAAGGTGCTATTTACAAATGGGAATCCCAGCAATAGATTGTTGGAATGGAATGCGCGCTCTCTCCCTGGAGGGAAGCATCCTGCCTACCTAATTCCGGAAAGTATTAAGCGCAGATTAGCAAGAGCCAAGGGTTGGAGAGCCCAGAGGGTGCGTTGGGTTACTGCTGGAGTCTAACCAGTTAAAACCACATAGCTCGCCATTGGTATTAATGCCCGGCAAGCTTTCCCGCTACTTGTCCAGTGAGGAGCACCCTACCCATTAGTGCTTTGGCTGCAGGGTTTTCAGGAGCTGAGTGAGATGACTCCCTGCCCCAGTGACTGGTCTGCTCTTCCAGGTCCTGCCGATGATTCAGCTGGGCTGTGCTGTCATTAGCAGTGCCCTGGAATACCACAAACCCACTTGTCTTTGGAACCGATTTCGTCCGGCTTTGGTTATCCTCAAACGAGGAGAGTCACTCGTTGTTTGTTCGACATCCAACAAGCATGGGTTTGACCCCTCACAAGGTGGTTGGTTTGTATAACGTGCACCTTGCGAGTTTCCTGGTGAGCAACGCATCTCAGCATGAAATGCATGAGGGCATTTGTCACCATCTTCCTACCCACAGATCAGGCACACATCCCTTCCAATTGACCGATACTTCCACCATTTGGAGGTGCTTAGTTTAAGCAGCAGTTGCTTGCCTCTCTGAAGGACAAACAAGGTGGATTCCAGGTAATGGACGTTCAAACATATGTTCAAGGATTCAGACTCCAGGTAACGCTGTAAGGAAACAGACAGAAAGGTGCAATTGAGATCGCAAATCCAATTAGTAATTGCAAAAAGGCAAATCACTGATCTACCAATTTACCAAACTGTAACATTGAATAAATGGCTATTGACTGTAATACGATTGATGTTTTCTCGTAGTACCGATTTTCAGCCAGTAATGAAAACACCTGATCTCATTCCATGAAGCTAATAATTTGTGTAACTCCAAAGGTTTGATTTCAGAGGCTTTCGCTTGGCTCAGACCATGATTTTTGCCATCGAAGAAATCAACAGAAATCATCTCCTTTTGCCAAATGTCACACTGGGATTCAGGATCCACGATGATTGTGCGTCATCCAAGATTGTGACAAAAGCGGCCTTAGCTCTTGTTAATGGGGAGGAAACCGGTTTGGGTTATTCTTGCACAGGACAATCTAATGTCATCGGGATCGTTGGCACACAAGGATCCTCTGAGTCTATTGCAGTAGCAAGAGTTATTGGTCCTTTTCAAGTTCCAATGGTAACGTTGTATGTTTCTAGTAGCATAATGTTTGCAAGGTACATATTACGATAACATAATTCTGTGCACATTTAATCCAAACTATATACAGTATTGTCTGTTGATGATAATATTTTTGCTGAAATAAAATATTCAATTATTAGACTGAAGATTAGTTTTACCAATTATGATAATCTGGTAAAACTGTGAAAGCACTTTTCCACTTCCTGATGGAAATCTCTCTGATATAAACATGAACACTACACAAGCATACACACACACACGTACACATTGTTTTCCATTGAATTCAGATTTATTTTTCTGCATTTTTCCAATATTTCATTCATGATAAGCAAAAATATGTCATGAAAGTTGCGCATTGAAAACATATACAAATAAGTAGTTTTAGCTGTTTAGACTCCAACAGTTATCCCAATGCACATCCTGAGGGCTCTAGCCAATCTGCGTCTAATACTCTCTGGAATTATGCAATGAGAATTGGTCCCTGCAACGACACAGTGCTAATTCCATTAAAACCTTCTAGAATTTGATTTTCTCTTATCAAATGAAAGAATTATACAAATTGATTAGTGTGAGTTTAAATTCTTTATGTACCACCAAAAGAGAAAATAAAAAAGGCAATAAGACTATTCTATATTGGAAATACATAAATACACGTTCACTGTAATGGAAATTGTAGTTACATATTGTCAATTAAACCATAACCTACTAATTCTCATTCACAACATTTTGAAGCTTAAATAAGTGGAGTCTATATCTTAAGCTACCCTGAGTTCAATAATGACTCAGCAACTTATGAGTTTTCAAGTATTCAGGATTTGCTTTTAGAGATCAAATATATTAATGATAATCTAAATGTCTTTTATCAATCACAGGTCAGCTACTTTTCCACTTGTGTTTGTCTCAGCAATAGGAACGAATACCCCGTATTTTACAGAACTATACCCAGTGACTACCATCAGTCCAAGGCTTTAGCTCAAATCATTAAGAAGTTTGGATGGACGTGGATTGCGACTATCAGAAGCAACAATGACTATGGTAACTTTGGAATGCAGGCATTTGTAGACATTGCGCAGGAACTTGGCATTTGCATTGCCTTCTCGGAATCATTTTATAGAACAGATCCACTTGAAAAGTTAAAAAAAATTGTAAATATAATTAAATCATCTACAACTAAAGTGATTGTGGCTTTTGTTGCTAAAGCGGATATGGAGATATTGCTCACGGAAATTATAAGTCAAAATGTCACAGGAATACAGTGGATAGGAACAGAAGCTTGGATAACAGCCAAACTCATTTCTCCAGAAGAAAGTGTAAGATTTCTCATTGGGACAATTGGCCCTGCAATTCCTATGTTAGAAGTAAAAGGATTGCGAGAATTTCTGCTTAAAATCCATCCTTCTAGTTTTCCCGGAAATGCTTTTGTGAAGAAATTTTGGGAAACTGCGTTCCAATGTACATTCCCATCAGGAAACACAAGCCAAATAACTGCTTTATCCACATGGCAACAATGCACCGGCAAAGAAGACCTGACACAAATACACAATGTATATTCTGATGTCAGTGTGGATGGAAGTTCTTACAATGTGTATAAAGCTGTGTACGCATTTGCTCATGCACTTCACAATATGCTCTCGTGTGAGAAAGGAAATGAACCATTTATGAACAATACCTGTGCACGTGTGTCAAATTTTCAACCATGGCAGGCAAGAAAATTATGTAATTGAACATAGTTATTTAGCGTCGAGTTTATAATGTATTTGTCAAATGTTGCATTTCCTTTATAAACTTAATTATTGATCTTTAACTGTTATTTCAATGTTCAAGTAACAAAAAAAACAAAAAGATTTGAGAATTTTCTATTACCATGTTGTTTTTCATATTGTTGAACAGCTTCTTCACTACCTACAGTCTGTAAATTTCACAACTACATCCGGTGACAGGGTTTATTTTGATGGAAATGGAGATCCGGTGGCCATGTACGACTTGATAAACTGGCAAATCGATTCGAGAGGTGTTTCTGAAATTAAAATAATTGGATCCTACGATGGGTCTGCGTCTCCGGGTCATGAATTAACCCTGGACGAGGAGGCTATTGTATGGAAGAGTGGTCAAAACAAGGTATCTTTCAGCAGATATGGTTTTGATACTAAAGTAGGTTATCTATTTTGTCACAGATTGCAATGTTATGTAGCAACTTCAAACAGAGTCATTGTGTGCGCACAAACCTAATTTATTTGTAAAGTATAATTAATGCAAAACACAAATTCGACTAAAACATGGAGTGAAAGATGTGAGACATACGGAGGGGAGCAATGATTTTTTGAATTTGGAAGGAATGCTTCTTGGAGAAGGAAACACTTCTATAAATGGTTTGTACACTTCCACCTGGTAAAGAACACTATAAGAGGGTACAAAATGGTTCTATTCAGATAGAAATCAGTTTTACATTTCAATTAAGATTCATTTAAGTACATTAAGTAGAAAAGTGGTTACACGTAGAAAGATAAAAGGTCCCATTGGTGACTCACGTTACCAAATCGGTCAGATTGAGAATCATAGCACAAAAGGAGGCCATTGCACCCATGACAATATAATAATGATATTAATAATAATCCTTGCATTTGATATAGCACTTTCTCACATCTTCTCGACGCCTCAAAGATCTTCACAGAATATACTGCAAAGTGAATTGACTGTATAATTGTGGGCGAAACGCGACAGCCAATTGCACACAGCAGCGTCCCCACAAACAGTCGTGGATGGAAGTGAACAATTTTATTATTGTTTTTTTTTTGAAGGATTATTATCAGGTTTGTGGAGTAAGGAAACTTGCTCAAGGTTTCGCGCTGCCGGGAATTGAACCCAGGTCTTTCGCTTGCGAGACAAGTGCTCTAACCACTGAGCTACAGGATTCGACTATATAGTTAAACCCATAAGAACCCACTTTCCCCAAAGTCTTGCAATTTTTTTTTCCCTTTCCCCATAGCCTGGGCCAATAGAAAATTGCGGATGCACATTTTTTTCCACGTAATTCACTACAAACAACCCCTGTTACAAACCTGCCACAGATGTAGTTTCTGGCCCGCGGACCTCCCGCCTGTTTACCTGACGTACATGTGGGTGGGGCGTAATATTCATATTACGTGCATTTTGTTTATTGTTTGTTACTTCATCAAAGAAATATTTTCATGTTAGACAATCAATGAGAGATTAGCAGATAGTGTAATTAGAGGTGACGCCCGGTGGAAAAGAAATTCTCCTAAGTATTCACTTGACCATTTCGAAAGAATTAAAGAATTATTATTCAAGGACAACACATTTTCAAACAGTTCATATTTCAAATTCAAATAACCATTGATTCCATAATTAATAATAATAACCCTTGCATTTGATATAGTGCGCAATCATGTCTTCTAGATGTCTCAAAGTGCTTCACAGAATATACTGTAAAGTCTAGTGACTGTGTTTTGTGGGCAAAATGCGGCAGCCAATTGAGCACAGCCGTGTTCCTCCAACAGTCATGGATTAAGTGACCAAATTATTATTATTATTATTTTTAAGGTAATATAACCCCCGGAAATGTGATCTGCCAATCGATTAACAACCGGATTCCTACTTACTGCTAGGTAAACAGGGGCGTGTGGAGTAAGAAAACATACCTTGTTTCGCCCTGCCCGGGAATGAAACCCAGGTCCTCTTACTTGTGAGGCGAATCCTCTAACCATTAAGCTACAGGACTCCACTTCAGGTGGTTGTTTCTTCAGTTCAGGCAATTAAACCACCAAATGATTGGAGCCTGTGAATTGGGTAACCTTTTCCCTGGAACCAAGTTTGATCATTTGGACTGCAGCAGGAATGTTGGTGCATGAAGCTACAAAGTCCTGGAGTCCTGTAGCTCAGTGGTTAGAGCACTCGCTTTGCAAGTGAGAGACCTGAGTTCAATTCCAGGCAGGGCGAAACCTTGGGCAAGTTTCCTTACTCCACACGCCTAATAATAATCCCTCCAAAACTAAAAACAATAATTAAATTGGTCATTTTCAATCTACGACTGTTTGTGGGACATTGCTGTGCGCAATTGGCTGCCGCGTTCGCCCACAAATATACAGTCAATTCACTTTACAGTGTGTTCTGTGAAGCGCTTTGGGACGTCCTCCCGACGTGAAAAGCGCTATATCAAATGCAAGGATTATTATTATTATTATTATTATTATTATTATTATTATTAAAGATCTTCCTGATATGCCCTTTTATCTTCATCAAAATAAGCACAAAGGCTAACTTCACTTGCAGCAGATGCATATATGTAATGCCTGAAAGTGGCTAGAGTGTAAGAATAGATAACACTGTGAGTAATGGTTCTTTCGGGTAGCATGGGAATGGGAGTCGAGGTCAAAAATGTTAGTTAGAATCCTCACAAATGGTGAGGGTTCAAGTGACCCTGTGGTAATGGAAGTAGGTGTTTGTTCCATTCAACATACAATGCACTTCGTACTTCACATGTACCTCATGTACTTCATCTTCTGGGCAATGGCTGAACAATCATTAGACACCACCTAAACTTTGGATATGATAGCCACATTTTAGGGTTACCTGAGCTCAGAATCCAAAATAAATATTGCACGGTATTTTAATATCGCAGATTTTTTTTAGGGGGGTGGAAGGCAGTTGAGGGCAGTGTTAATAACCTTTCATGAATATATCTTACTGCTAGGTAAACAGGGGCGTGTGGAGTAAGAAAACATACCCTGTTTCGCCCTGCCCGGGAATGAAACCCAGGTCCACTTACTTGTGAGAGGTTGATAACTTCATTTTATATCTAATTATTTAACGTGGTATTTCTTAATCGAAGATGCCACGTTCTGTTTGCAGTGAGAGCTGTATTCCTGGAACAAGAAAAGTTGCCAGAAAAGGCCAACCCGTGTGTTGCTTTGACTGTACAGAATGTGCTGAGGGAGAAATCAGCAACATCACAGGTGAGTGTAAAATTCCTCTTCCTATTTACAACAACCATTTGCCCTCCACACAGGGTAGCGTCTCAGAGCGCTTAACTGTGGCGGAGCCTGACTCTGATCTGGGCGTGGATAGCTGTCAGCACTGGCGAACACGAAAGAGGGGAGAGAGGGGGTGAGGTGGAAGGATTGAGGAAGAGTGTTCCAGAGTTTAGGGGAGTAGCAGCTGAAAGCACAACGTCCAATGGTGGGGCAGTGGGGGTGGGGGTTGAGCAGGAGGCTGGTGCCAGTCGATTTGGGAGTGAGGGGGTCGGAAGTGTAGGGAATTGCCAGGGAGTGAATGGATTTGAACACGAGAGTGAGATCTTGACGTTGATCCGTTCGGTGATGGGGAGCGAGTGGAACCTGGGCCACAACTGGTGAGATGTGGAGATTGGTCCGGCTCCGTATGCGGGCGGCAGAGTTTTGAATCAGCTGATCTTGTGAATGGTGGAGCTGGGGAGACAGGAGAAGTGTTTTGGAGCAATCCAACCTGGAAGTGACAAACACGTGCACGAGGATTTTGGCTGCATTTCGGTAAGGTACGGTCGGAAGTGGGCAATATGGCAGAGGTGGAAGCAATCGGTTTTGATCAGGGACCTGATGTGGGGGAGGATGAACAGTTGGGGGTTGAACTGGACGCCGAGGTTGCGCACTGGTACAGTGAGTCTGAGGAAGAGCCCAGGAAGGCTGAGGAGTTGAGATCCACAGGAGATTTTTGAAAACTCCCTTTAGTAATATTCATGCCATACTTACTGAATTATCGTACCTTTCCCAGATTCCACAGACTGCATTAAATGCCCTGAACAATATTGGCCCAATCAGCAGAGAGATCGTTGCCTACCAAAGGAAATAGAGTTCCTCTCCTTTACCGAAATGCTGGGAGGTGTATTGCTGACATTGGCTCTGGTGGGAGTGAGCACCACAATAAGTATTGCCATTGTCTTCTTCACACACAGAGACACTCCTATTGTTAAAGCCAACAATTCTGAGCTCAGCTATCTGCTTCTCTTTGCATTAACGCTGTGTTTTCTGTGCTCAGTGACTTTCATTGGCGAGCCCTCAGTCTGGGCTTGCATGTTGTGCCACACAGCATTCGCTATCGCTTTCGTTCTCTGTATTTCCTGTATTTTGATTAAAACAATCCTTGTGATTCTGGCGTTTAAGGCAACTCTTCCAAACAACAACATGGCCAAATTGTTCGGGCCTGCTCAGCAGCGTTGGAGTGTATTCCTCCTTACCTCTGTTCAGTGCCTGATATGTACTCTCTGGTTAACTATATCACACCCATTTCCCATGAGAAACACAGAATATTACAGAGAGATTATCATTCTGGAATGTGACCTGGGCTCTGTGAGCGCCTTTTATTCTATGGCGGGATATATTGCTTTCCTGGCCGGAGTGAGCTTTGTGCTGGCGTTTCTAGCTCGGAAATTACCTGATAACTTTAATGAGGCTCAATGTATAACCTTTAGCATGCTCACCTTTTGTGCTGTTTGGATCACTTTTATACCAGTTTACATCAGCTCTCCTGGGAAATACACCGTTGCTGTCGAAGTCTTTGCTATTTTAGCCTCGAGTTGTGGGTTATTGTTTTGTATTTTTGTTCCTAAATGTTACATTATTTTGATAAAACCTGAAATGAATACCAAAAAGCACTTGATGGGCAAAGTACCTGTAAATAAATAGTTATCATCTATAAATGCGGCATGATCTTCGGGAATATGATAAAAATGAAGGCAAATTCTGAAATAAATATAACAAGAATCATGTGCTTGTTTGTTTGTTTGTTTGTTGTCGATGTTCCATTGTTTGACATACAGTCGTAATTTAATCTGGTAAAATAAAGTCACTTTTAACATGTGATAAAAACACTGTTTTACAGTCAACAGCAATAAATGTATCATGCTTTGTCTTCCAAATTGTGGGTTAATTCCTTTCCAATGCAATTGATGTTTGAGTATATCCGAGAAACACAGATTTGTTTAACTCGAGGTCAACATGCCTTCTGTTTAGGCATTTATTTTCATGTGGAATCCCACAATGCCACTTGGATTACAATATATTTCACTGGATTTCCTTAATTTCTGTAAGTCAAACATCAACTCTTAAAATAGTAAACATTGATTACATTAAATTACTAAGAGGTCCATGTGGAAGTTTCAGAATAAATCACTTAAAGTCCGTCTGTCCAGCACATTGAGACATCCTCCCAACGTGAAAGAGGCTATACAAATGTAATTTTGTTGTTGTTGTTGAAAAAGCATCTTTATGTGCTCCCTCAAGAGTATTATGATCATCTGTCAATTGTCAATAAATCTGCATTCCATCACTGTGCATACATGTGCAATTCAGGGAATCCACTGTCATCACCCCCCTCCTCAAAAGAAAACACCCTTGAACCATCCAACCTCACAACTTAACGACCTCTTTCCAGCCAGCCCTTCCTCGCCAAAGTTCTGGAACAAGTTGTCGCTAACCAGCTTTGCTCTCACCTCTCCCTTCACTCCCTCCTCAAGCCCCTCCAGTCTGTTTTCCGCACTGCCCATAGCACAGATACAGAGCTTCACAGGTCACAAACGATGACCCCTCTCTCACTGTGACCAGGGCTCCCTCTGCCTCCTTGTCCTCCTGGACCACTCCGCCGCATTCAACGCAGTCGACCACACCATCTTCATCCTCCGCCTCTCCTCCCTCATCCACTTCAGTGGGATTGCATTCGCATGGTTCAAGTCCTACCTAACAAAAATGCCTTCACTTTACTTCCTCAAACAGTTTCTCCTCGCGCCCCTGCCCGGTCACCTGTGGTGTACACCAGGGCTCCATCCTTGGCCCCCTCCTATTCCTCATCTACCTGCTCCCTCTTGGCAATGTCATCCACAAACATGGGGTAAACTTCCACATGTATGCTAATGACACACAAATCTACTTCTCCTCCTCCAGCTGCAACTCCAGGTCTGACGTTCTCTTGGCCTTTCTGGCCACAATGAGTGAAAACATCCTACAACTCAATGTTGACAAGACGGGAGCCATGCTTGTTGGCTCCTGTCAACATCTTCTATCCTGCAGCTCTGATCTCCTCAACCTCCCCCTAAATTTAATGAGGCTCAATGTATAACCTTTAGCATGCTCATCTTTTGTGCTGTTTGGATCACTTTTATACCAGTTTACATCAGCTCTCCTGGGAAATACACCGTTGCTGTCAAAGTCTTTGCTATTTTAGCCTCGAGTTTTGGGTTATTGTTTTGTATTTTTGTTCCTAAGTGTTACATTATTTTGGTAAAACCTGAAATGAATACCAAAAAACACTTGATGGGCAAAGTATCCAACTGAAAAACTAGCTGCCTAGATATGTAGAGATGCAGCTAAAAGCGAACATAATTTAAATGCAGGTTAGTTTTACTGAAATGTATCAAGAATACAATAATAATCCCTCCAAAAAAACAAAACAATAATAAATTGGTCATTTTCAATCTACGCCTGTTTGTAGGACATTGCTGTGCGCAATTGGCTGCCGTGTTCGCCCACAAATATACAGTCAATTCACTTTACAGTGTGTTCTGTGAAGCGCTTTGGGACGTCCTCCTGACGTGAAAAGCGCTATATCAAATGCAAGGATTATTATTATTATTATTATTATTATTATTAAGAAACTAATTAAAGTACATGTAAACCGTCTAATGTTTAGTCATTTTGTGCATGGTGACATGGAATTTTTAAGTGTAACTTTACATGTTTTATATTCTCTGCTAATAAGTTATCTGATGCAACTAATATAGTTACAGATGTTACACTTGTATTGCTGCAATCAAACTTCCCTTTGATTTATTCTCTTAATTTCTAACAGCATTGTTGTCCTTTACTGATTCCCCCCAACACTGGACACAATCCACCTCAACTCTCTCAAATCCTTCTCACATGCATTTGCCAAAGTAGCCAATAATCCACGGGTAGACATTACTGTCTAACAAATCTAATAGAATTTTTCAATGAGGTATCGGAGAGGGTGGATAAAGGTAGTGCAGTTGATGTAGTTTATATAGACTTTCAAAAGGCATTTGACAAAGTTTATTTTTCTGAAATGTATCAAGAAACTAACTATTGTACATGTAATCTTTAAGTCTGAAATTAAATACACTGCAAATAAATGATTTATGTTTAACATTCCTAACTGGTTTTATTGTTATCTGATGCAACTGCTATATTAACAGATGTTGGAACAATTATACTTGTATTGCTGTAATCAAGCTTCCCTTTCCTTTATTCTCTTGTCTTTCAAACCACATTCTTCTCCTTTGCCGATTTCTCACTACTTGACAAAATCCACCTCAACTCTCTCAAATCTTCTCACATGCATTTGCCAATGTAGCCAATAATCAATGCAAAGATATTGTAAGCAATTAAGCAATCAATAAATAAGTAAGAGACAATCAATCTGTAAGCTGTTTAAGCAATCCTTAAAAAATTGTGCAGATGGGTTAGGAAGGAGCTCAGTCCATTAATAAACATGGTTATTTGGGCTGTGGAAGTGTGTGGGGAGAACAAATGATCATTACTTCTAATTCTCTGCAAATTAACCAAATTTGCTCTATCCAGACCTGTGACAGAAGTCTCAAATCATTGTCACGTGTTACAAAGTGCTATTTCAGAAGCAAAACTATATGGCTGTCCTATGGCACGATAAACAATTGCCAACAACAAACTCGTGGAATAAAACCCATTGTGGTGGAACATTCAGAGATAAAACGATAAAACTTAGACAAGAGGCGGAAACTAGTCTGTGCGTGCAGCTCTCAATGAATGCAGTGACCTGCTGACTCGCTACCAACCTGCCCGCTCCCTCCGTTCGGCGCCTCCAGCCTTCTCCATGTCTCCCGCCCGACACGCCCTACCATCAGTGGCCGGGCTTTCAGCCTATCTGCCCCCACAATCTGGAATTCCATCCCATAATCCCTTCGCCTCGCTTCCTCCCTCGCCTCCTTCAAGGCCGAAATCAAGACCCTCCTCTTTAATTGTGCCTTCGGTCACCCTTCCATCTCTCTGCCTTCCCTCACCCCTACCCCACCCCTCCCCCATGCTCAGGTCCTGACCCCAGACTGTCCAGCACGTTGGGACGTCTTCCTGACGTGAAAGGCGCTCTATAAAAGTAATTTTGTTGTTTTTGCATCATCTCCAATGATTATAAATTAGAATTAGGTAAATGAGAATAATGTTGATTAAAGCAATTCAACAACAACAAGATTATATTTGTATAGCGCCTTTCACGTAGGGAGGACGTCCCAAGGTGCTGGACAGTGTACAGCATTTCAGACCAAGTTGGGGTCAGGGGGGGCAGGGAAGGGGGGCGGCCGATGGCATGGTCGAATAGGAGGGTTTTGAGGTGGGTCCTGAAGGAGGCTAAGGAGGGGACGAGGCGGAGTGATTGTGGGATGGAGTTCCAGAGGTTGGGGGCAGAGTGGCTGAAGGCTCTCCTGCCAATGATGGGGCGGGTGGATCGGGGAACGTGGAGCAGGCCGGAGCCGGCTGAGTGGAGGGTGTGGGCAGGTTGGTAGGGGGTTAGGTGGTCACAAAGATAGGGTGGGGCGAGACCATTGAGGGCTTTGTAGGTGAGAACCAGGATTTTGAACTGGATACTCTGAAGGATAAGGAGCCAATGGAGTCGGGCGAGAATGGGGGAGATGGGGTCACGGTGTTTGGTGCGGGAGAGGACACGGGCTGCAGAGTTCTGGATTATCTGCAGCCTGTGGAGGGAGGAATTGGGAAGGCTGACAAGTGGGGCGTTTTCATAGTTGAGCCTGCAGGTGATGAAGGCATGAATAATAATAATAATAATCCTTGCATTTGATATAGCGCTTTTCACGTTGGGAGGACGTCCCAAAGCGCTTCACAAAACACACTGTAAAGTAAATTGACTGTATATTTGTGGGCGAACGCGGCAGCCAATTGCGCACAGCAATGTCCCACAAACAGTCATGGATTGAAAATGATCAATTTATTATTGTTTTGTTTTTTTGGAGGGATTATTATTCGGGTGTGGAGTAAGGAAACTTGCCCAAGGATTCGCCCTCTGCCTGGAGTTGAACTCAGGTCTCTCACTTGTAAAGCGAGTGCTCTAACCACTGAGCTACAGGACTCCACAAGAGTTTCAGTGGCCTGAGGGGTGAGGTCGTGGCGGAGTCGGGCGATGTTATGGAGGTGAGGTGAAGGAAGGCAGAGCGGGTCATGGCTTGGATATGGGGAAGAAAAGACAGTTGTCGAACAAGACACCGAGGTTCCTGACTGGCTGCTGAGTTGTAGTGTGCAACTGTGGAGGTTGATGCTGCCAGAGCCTGAGGTGCTGAGACGTTGGCGCGAGCCGATCAGGAGGGTCTCAGTCTTGTTCACATTCAACTGTAGGAAGTTTGCCCTCATCCAGGACTTGATGTCTGACAGACAATCTGTCAGGACAGCAGTGGCCTGTAGTTGAGGGTGGAGGCAGAAAGTTAGAGTTTAACCATCACAATCCCAAATGGTATAAAGGATAATTTTAAAAGTTGCTTCCATGATTACGCAGAGGGGAAATCCCTGATGAGATACACTCAGATACTTGGCCACAATCGTTACAGCTGACAGTTAATTTTCCGGAGGCACATAGGAAATTATATTCTACTGGGATTTTAAATAATCTCCAAATTACCTTCCACTGAATT